CCTGTTCTCAGAACAACGACATAAAATTGCGATAGTTCCGTTTCCTCGTGGTAGAGATTATGTGCTCACGATCTCTCTGCTTGACCTCCAGTGTTTTGATAAATAAAATTACTTTAATCTAGTGCCGTTAGCGGAGCAAAAGACTTTATTCATTTAGACTTCATTAATTATGTTTTTATTCAGACAAATGAATTTTACAGCGATACACTACTTCGCAGTTTTACAACAAACATATAATATAAAAAATATAAGCATAAATTAAATAATAAGCAAAAGGTGAGTCCAAAAGCATTTGGTAATTACGTTATAACCAAAGGCAATACCATTTTTACTACACTTTTCTTGATGTGACAGAAATAAGAAACCATTTACAGAGCCTGGGGCTTACGTTTATAATAACAACAAAATACCTTAGCCAAATGCTGAATGATTAAGTACATATATTTGACAAAGAGCGTGAGAGGCAATTGAAACCCATTCTCTTGAATATGCAATTAAATTTTTAATTAAGAAGTTATTATTATATTTATGGCATATAGCTCAGGTGAATACCACATTTTTTTATTGTATTTTTAATTTTAAGATTTACTGAAGTAATGAATGGTGAAAGGTTGTCCACGTACATTACCAACATGCCGGTACCACAAATTTGATTATAAATTAAAAAACTCAAATATTTGATATTCCCTTTAGAATGCGATTTAAAATAACTTGACATCTTGCTAGATACTTGATATGGTTAGAACCCTACTTCCGAACTCTAAAGGTGGTAACTAAATTTAGTTTACTTACGACCAAAAATATGAATTAGTTTAAAAAATATTTAGTAATCCTTCTTTTTTAATATGAAAATTTTTAATTCTTGGGTGTGAACGTATCAAGAGGGTTCAAATGAGCCCTTTTGAAAATTGACTTTAAATTCGTACCTTTATTTTTATTTCTGGCGATCATTTGACTTTATGTAAATTCTAATATCATTAGATTACTCAATTCAATTTCCTACTTCCGGGTTTATCGTAGCTTATTTTTTACCGACAAATGTTCTTGACACACCTTACGTACCATGGAGGGTCATTTGACCCCTTGCGAAGTTTATGTATTATTAGCGGCTTCCCAAATACTTGTAGAATCTTAGTTCTAAATTCAGATACGCTTTCCAAGTGACTCTTCCTAGCAGTTGCAATTTTAGTTACATTTTAACAATTTCTGTTACATTCAATAGGACTTGTGTTTCACTGCAGCCCTGAATATGTTCGCACGAACAGAGAGAGAGTTGTAAAGAATTTTTTAAATAAATAAATAATAAAATATATATATATATAAATAAATAAATAAAATTCAGGTGCAGAAGATTAAATTTCTGAAGGTAATCAAGGCGAAAGTCAAAGTGATTTTCGAGACAATGAATATGAGAGTTTTTTAAATCTCCGCAGGACAGAGGTGCTGAAGATTTTTATCGGAATTTGATAGTGATGGAATTATGGGGCAGCGAATCCAAGAAGGGCCGTCAATTGGAAGATCATTACTTACTTTTAGAGAAGCATCAGAACCAACGGCAAACGCCAAAATATAATGTCTGGTAAAGCTTTTCTCGTGATAATAAATCACAGCATTATTGATAATATAAAAAAATATTGTGAAGCAGAAGTTTTACGCGTCAGGGAAAAAATTTATACATATACAAGAAGTGCTTAAGCTGACACGACCAACAACTTTATCATGTCACGCCACACCACCTTCGATTTATTGGCGGATGTTCCAGAGTTTAACGGCAAAACTAAGGTGCTCAACCGGTTTATTTTACAAGTTGATGAATTGCGGAATATCACAACAACAACGGAACCCAGTTTTCTTAAATTGTTTGATTAAGAATCCGTAATTATATAGTAGGTAAGGCGAACATTTCGCTAATAAATAATAGAAATCCATTAGAATGGGAAACCATAAAAATTACATTAAAAACGAATTTTGACATTTATGAAAATATTGAAACTATTGTTAATAAAATAAAAGCCGCAGAATGTAAGAGCAAAATGGACGACCTCTACGAATATTTAGTTGCGCAGTTAACGAAGCTTAACTTAAGAGCCAACCTTGAAAATAATAATTGGTATAATTACGGCTCGAATGAAAAAATTGTTCTAAAAATTTTTATAAATTAATTTCCATTTGAACCAAAGCTTATACTTAATGCTAGGAACCCAAATCTCGTATCATAAACAAGAACCATTTACAAAAATAGCTCGCAAACCTAAATGTCGAGTACAACAATAAACAGAAAGAATCCCATCAACATAAGACTACAAAGAGATGAACAAATAGAAATTGACAACATAGAAGCAGAAAATTTTCACAGATCTCTTCTTTTTGTATTAATAATGACTAAAACCATCCCAATAAAAATGTTAAAAGATTCTGGAGCAACAACATCTATAATTAATAAAAATTTATTTAACAAAGCTTTTATGAAAAAATTGGAAGATCTTACAACAACTGTTAGTAAAAATCTACATACGATACCATTTCAGCGTACGATGAACGAAGTTTTGCATGATCTTGTGAACAAAATTTGATATCTTGGTATTTTCTAGTTCACTTCGTGAACATTTGGTTTCTTTAGGAAAAATTTTGAAAATACTTTTAGAATATAATCTTAAAGTACAGAGTGATAAGTGCAACTTTTTTAAAAGAGAATCAGAATATTTACGACACATTACCTCAACCGAAGGAATTAAGCCAAATCCTGAAAGAATTAAAATTATTAATCAAATAAAACTTCCACAATTTCGTAAGCAAATAAGGTCATTCCTAGGTCTTTCTGGCTTTTATAGGAAATTTGTGAAGGATTTTAGGCGTGTTGCTCTTCCTTTGACATTGTGTTAAAAAAAAAAGATTCTAAAATTAATTTTTTATATCAAATACAGGGAATCTTTCTTTAAATTGAGAGAATTTAATACTGCAAGTCCTGTATTAGCTTTTCCAGATTTTTGTAAAATGTTTGTTCTTTCAACGGATGCTAGTAATGCTGCGCTCGGTGCCGTTTTGTCACAAAACGGTGATCCGATTGCGTTTGCATCAAGGACTTTGAATTCGCACGAATGTAACTAAAGCACGATAGAAAAAGAGCTACTTGGAATTGTTTAGGCGACCAAGCATTAACCGCCCTTTAATTTGGTTAAACTCTCTAAATGAAGTTGCAGCGCTGGAAGATAAAGCTCAACGAATGTGATTTTGATATTGAATATATCAAAGGAAAGAAAATTCTCCTTCAGACCTAGCAACAATAGATATCCATAAAAAAGATTTGGGTGATATACATATATATAAACATCAATATATATAAATATCTATATAGAAGAAACATACCATGACCGTGTATTATTTTCCTAATTTTAAATTAGAAGTTCAAAAATACATAAATAGTTGTATCATATGCAATATGTGCAAATATGATTGACATCCTATTAAAAATAAGTTATGCATAACAAAGACACCTAAAAACCCAAATGAAATTTTACATGTAGGTATATGGTTTTAAAAAAAAAATAACACTTTCAACCTGCATAGATAAACTTACCAAACATGTATCCATCCATTCTCTGTCAGATGAAAATTCATTAACTATCGTGAGCATGTTAAAGGAAAGGTTCGCCATTTTAAGAAAACCAACAAAAGTTATAGCAGATAACGAGTTTAACCCTGCATACATTAAAAATTTTCTTACTTTGCAAAATATTGAATATCATTTCACATCTCCTAATACACACACAGGTAATTCTGATATAGAACGTTTCCATTTAACGCTCAATGAGCATATACGACTATTTAAACTAGATAAAAACAACCAAGGTATTGACGACAAAACATTAGTGTTTAAAGCTATAGAAATTTATATTAATACCACACATAGCATGACCGGATATAAACCCTTTGACTTATTACATAAGCAAATTGATAAATCAGACTGGCAAAAACTCAACAAACTATTACGTAAAAAAAAGAGAGAAATGTAACAGATATTAATAAAAATAGAGAGGATTGTCAAGATTTTAAGAATCGGGAACTAGCTAAAAATCTAGGTTTTCAAAATCCAAAACAAAAACCAAAATATATCATAAAAGATGTCAAGGAAAAAGAAAAATTTAATTTTTTGGAGGAAAATGGTTGTAAAAGAAACAGAAAGATAATTAAAAGAAAGTGTATATTTGATAGAAAGATAACGGGAAGAAATTATTAAAAAAAATTCTAAAAAAACTGTTTATATCTATTTTTATTTATACAAATTAGCTATAAACATTAATAAGAATTGTGTTATTTTATTATATTGCAGTATATAAATTAATTTAAGAACCTTGACTAAGTAACTACATATATGCACATATAATGTTGAATTGTATTTAGTTTTTTTTTTAACAGTATTAAAATCACATTTCAGTAGAAATGTATGTAAACCTTTCTTTGTTCGAATGCTCTCCCACACATATTCGAACATGTAGCAATTAAACCCCAACATTTCCTTTCTGCTTTACTTCTACCACTCTAGTTTGTAAATTACACTCTCATCTGAATTAGTTTTCAAACAAATGTTTAAAAAAACGAAGTATAGTTAGTTTAAAATAAAAAAGTAAGAAATAAACAAGTATTTTTTGATTTCTTTCTATGGTAAAATTAGGTATAGAAAATGCCGGTGCGTTTAGTCTTAACTCATGGAGAGTTAATCCATAGTTAGTGTCAGGCAATGTTTCACTAAATATAGAACTTCGAATATGTTTTCTCCGGATTTGGTAAGCAGTTTAACAATTTTTTTAATCGTGGGAAAATTTAAACATTCTTAACGACAATAAAAAAATATGTACATTTTACTGATATATTTTTTTCTTCGAAAAAACTCGATTTTTTTATTCTCCATATTTTTATAATAGATGAATCCAAAAAAAAAAATTAAATTAAGTCTGAGTATTTTTCCATTCAAATAAAAATGAGTAATTCCTTATTTCCAGGTTTTTGCTGCAATTCAATAGCTCGGCGCCGCTTACCATTAATTTCTCGCAGCAGGTCGTACGCAAGATATTCTTCAATCAAACAAGTAAGTAGTATAACGGGCATTTGATGCTTAATGCGTAAATATGATATATGCATACAGTGGTGGCCACGTAATTAGAAACGACCTTACATAAACTAAATACAATGATTAACACAACGCCCTATACTTTCTAAATAATTTTATTGTGCACCTACTTATGCTGTGGTGCTTCATTATGGGTTTGAAAATATTTTTTTTTTTTAATCGCAGTTTGCTTTTGAAAATAAATCAAAAAAATTTCTGTTATAAACGTTTGTTCGTGCTAAAATTGTTCTTATTGAATTTGAGTTGTAAGTTGGAAACATTTTAGTTAATGAAATGAGTGAGGAGGTCATGTACGCGGCAAATGAGAGAGCTGATTATACGGTGTCACCAAAAAGGAACTGGCTATGGCGGGAATTGGAACACGGTTTAGTTGCTCTAAAAAGATGGTAAGATGGCAGTTGGAGCAATTCATGTTTTCAATACAACCAAAAGTTTTGAGAATCGGAAACGCCGCGTAGACCACGTGAAACCACTCCTAGCGCAAAAAAAACATCACGTTTCCAAAACAAATATTCAAAAACGATCAAGCTTTGCCAAGCGCATGCTATTTAGCATCAACTTTGGAAAATAGTCCTTTGGAGTGACGAATCCAAATTCAATTTGATGGCAAAACGCATATAAGACGTCCTCCAAACAAATCGTTGGAATCTAGGTGTACTTTGAAAACAGACAAGCATGGTGAGGGTTCAATTATGATTTTGGGTGTATTTCTCTGGCGTGGTGGGAAGGAAATTGTTCGAATTGAGGGGAAAATGGACCAATATGATGGAACCATTCAGTTTTTAAAAAATGCTGGTTGCTTACTTTTGGTTGCAACTTTATTACGACCCAAAGAATGCATCACGGTTAGTGAAAGGATGACTTTTGGAACGTAAAATCGAAGTTTTACCATGGCTTCTCAAAGTCTGACCTAAACCCTATAGAGAACTTTTGGGGCATGGTGAAAAGCGATCTAAAGGACAGAAAACTGCGAAATAATAACGAATTATTGCAATTAGGCAAGGAAAGTTAGGAGAACATTTATACTGCAACGTGTCGAACTTTGGTTGAGAGTTTGCCCAGAAATAAAGCAGTGTGATCAAATACCAAGGATATCTTTCTTACCAAATACTAATTTTATGTACTTATTTCTAGTTAAGAAAGTTTTTTTCTTGAGTTTCTAATGTATATATATGAAAACGTTCCTAATTATGTGACTAATGAAATAGTGTCATTGTGTTTATTACTTCAATTTTTTTTAATAATGGATTAAAAAAAAACAAATTCTTGCGTTAAATAAAAGTATACATATATACGTATAAATTCTAATTAAATGAAAAATTTAAAATTTAATTCAAATTCTTTAAACAAAGTGGATATTATGTATCACACGATGCCGGTTCTAATTATAGGGACACCACTGTACATATATACGTGAAGTATACCAGCAACACCAGCAAGTTGCTCATACGCCATGTCGACGCTTCCCTTCATCTTTGCATAAACTCAATTTCCTTTAATTTGTATCCCTTTTCGGTTTCATTAATTTACCTTTGCACATATTCTTTGCATTTCCCAATTATCTCATCCCTCCATTGAGCAGCAGCCTTTTCATCACCATGCGGCCGACATTCGCATTAATCTTTATCACCGCCTTTCGTCTGATTTATCATATATTCATTCTTTGTTCTTACTTTGACCTCACTTTGCAGTAAATTTATCGCGTTCACTTAAATCAGATCAACGCATGGTAGTGCTGCCCTGTGCGCTGCGCGGTCAATATGATATTTTCGTGCAAGCCCGGCAGCGAGGCTCAATTAAAATCGAAGCTCATGCAGCACATCCGCAGTCCAGTTGGCCGTTACTTAATCGAACGCATCACATTCGCATTCGCACACAAAATCTGGTGCGTAAACGCCAAATGATTGTGAAGTGGGACAAGAGGTGAGTAAATGCGTATATATACGTGTATGTATCTATGTGCATGCGTTTACCATGAAGCTTTTCGAAAGTATTATACACATAGCAAATACATATACACGAATATGTGCGTAAGTTTGTATTGATCATTTATTGACTTCTTCGCCTTGCGTTAGCAGCAAATTCGATTTTCATGCAGTACACTACTGCCTGATTGTGAACACACATCAACGCCAATTGAACTTCTGTAACGCCGTCGATGACTACTTTGCAAGTGCGGCTGGGCGAGTGAATGTCGGCGCACCAGGCAGCTGCTATCCTGGCTCATTGGTGGACTACATCTGGTTGAAACCACCGGAGCGTGCTAAGAAAATTGGTGAGTTGCCACGTAATTGTGGTCGATTGTAATTGCAATGAAGATGTGCTTCATGTGCTTCATGTGCCATGAGTTTCTGGCTCTCATACCTACATATGTATTTTGCATATCTCATAGATCCACGCATCATCAACATTATCTGTACGGGCGCTCACACTCAGCAACTGTTGCGAGGAGTGCTGCCGAATCGTACTTACTACTTGGACGTTTTCGGAGTACATACTCGACGGCAAAACTTGACTTTCCACATTGCTTCTGCGCAAGTCGAGTACAATCGTACGCATCCGCTTTCTCTGAGTGACGATATGTTGAGCATGAAGAAGATATCCGGATTGAATGGCATACAAGTCTTCAGTTTTAAGGTGAGCATAAACGAATATGTGAAATCTAGACATGCAAATGTGTAGAAACATGTGTAGAGTTGATCCACTCATTTGCTACAAAATAACTATCTTATTATCTAGGAAAGAAAGTAGAATAAAGTATTTCTTAAAATTTTTAATATGTGACTTAAATAAAAAATTATATATATTCAACACATATATTCAGGGCATTTGATGGGTTAACCCAAAGAAACCTAAAAAATTTTAATGAATTTACAATGAAATAAAATGATATAAAAGAAGCCTCAAGTCCTTACCGCTGTACGCCTTTCCCGGTAGTCTATTAATTACAAATACGGCGGGCGAATCCGCCTCAGTACAAAAAAAAAATAACAGAAGAATAAGGAGAAAACATAAAGCGACAAGTTTACAATATGGCCAGACTGGTTCAAAGAGTTTTTATAACTTAAATATAATATAAGGTGGCGTTCTGGGACAGCTTTAATTTAATAGCTAGTCAAGCCAAGACCCATTTTCGTAAGGAAGACTAACTATATAGCAATTAGTACTAATCGAATGTTTTTTTTTTTTCGAAAATCATACCAAGTTTTTGTTTTAATGGAATCACTAATCGATACTGTCGAAAATTATTTTATTTTAACGTCATTTGGATATTTTTGTCACGAAACATCGGACGCAAGTGGGGAAACTGGGATATTTTCATCCATCTGGACGACGTGACCTTGCCTGAGCATATGACCCTTAATTCATTGAACTATCTGTCTACGGTATTTCCCTTCGCTTATAGGCAAATATCCCAAAACTGATATTGCGATTTTAAGACTTTCATTGTAATGCTGGTTTCTAGATTGAGTTATCTAGGTACTCAAAGTTCTCACTGTCCACAGTGACAGAACAGACGCAAATGCTTTGATTATTTTATTAATATTACCAGGTCCTGCACAAATATGATACAGTCTTGAAACCTTACATCTTCCCTTTCACTTTTTGTTTGCAAATGTGTCTCTCTCCCCTCTTCAACAATCGTTATCTTTTATCACGATTCTTCATACAAGCTAGACCTCAACACATATCATTTTAAAATTGTTATAAAATAAGTAAATAGATAAATTATTTTCAAGGCTGCCTAGGCGATTATAGCCGATTTCTCGACATTGCGCCATTCGTTTTTTCTTTTTTCTGTTTGGCGCCAGTTGGAAATACCAAGTACAGCCAGCTCCTTCTCTACTTGGTCTTTCTAACGGAGGGGAGGTCTTCCTCTTTCTCTGCTTCCACCGGCGGATACTGCATCGAAAACTTTCAGAGCTGGAGTATTCGCATTCATCCGAACCAAACGACCTAGCCAGCGTAGTCGCTGCCTCTTCATTCACTGAACTATGTCAATGTCATCAAATCGTTCGTACAGCTCATCGTTCCATCGTCTGCGATATTAGCCTTTGCCAATTGGCAAAGGACCATAAATTCTATGCAAATCCTCTCTCTCGAAAACTCCTAACGCCGATTTATCAGATGCTGTCATCGTCCATGCATTCGCATCATATAGCATGACGGTAATGATGAGGGACTTGAAGATTTTGGTTTTCGTTCGTCGGGAAAGGACTTTACTTTTCAATTGCTCACTCAGGTCGAAGTAGCACCTGTTGGCAGGAGTGATTTTGTGCTGGATTTCAAGGCTGACATTATTATTGGTGTTGATATTGGTACCTAGATAGACGAAATTATCTACGACTTCGAGGTTATGACTGCCAACAGTAACGGGAGAGCCAAGTCGCAAATGCGATGACTGTTTGTTTGACGGCAGGAGATACTTCGTCTTGCCCTCATTTACTACCAGACCTATTGCCGTCACTTCAGTATCCAGATTGAAGAAAGCAAAACTTACGGACCCTTATTTGACTTGGTTATCATCAGAAAAGGAACATTTGGAAACGTAGCGTAGCATTACGTGTGGACGAAGGTGAAATGAGATTACTCGTAAAAAGTTTCTTTGGTGAAAATGTTAAATTTTGGCCCGCCATTAGGTGGCCAAAAAAAATTCTCTTCTTGGTTTTATGGCGCTTTGATATCATTTTTCCAAGACCTCAAGCAAAAGTGAAAGAATTGTTTAGTTCTTGTAAACGGTGTTGATTTTGATGGCTGTTCGAGCACACTTTGAGCCACTGAAGTATTATTTTCCTCTGAACGAATACGTACGAGAATTGTTTTGTCTGATAACAAACCGGTATGGTCATCTCGCTGCTGAAAATAATTCTCAAATTGTGTGGAAGTCGAATGATTCAGACCAAATAACGAATTTCTTGCAGATGTGGTAAATTTAACGATTTTGTTAAGCGCAGACTTTGTACTGAGTATTTGACATATCGGGAAATTTAATAAGAATGAACCAAAATCCAAAATAAATTAGTCTGATTTCTTTCATTGTTGAAAATGATTTAATTTTAACAGCCCAAAATTGAATTTGGTATTCTAGCGCACAGGCTACATTGTTTAACAAAACTTTGGCAGCTCTGCATTTGGTTTGACCATGACAAATTACATTTGCCAGTTGATAAAGTAAAAAAGAAAAATATTTACACCGAAATTCAATTTGAGTTCTATTTATTTGTTTATAATTTTTTTTTAAGTCATAAATACTTAACCAATAAACTAAAAAATTGGCTTAAATACAGAAAATTCACAAGTGTGCATCTAAAATCGTTCATTCCTCTAAAAACAATAGCAGATGTCGACAATGCAGTTGATGCAGAAAATTTCAACGCACGGCACATCTAACAAATGTGCTCAATATATGCATAAAATAGCTCCAGGATGTCCTCAAACAAAAAAGAAAATCGAACTTCAAAAGTCCGTACAATCTCTGTCAGCTGCTTCTGATACTAACTACTCTTCGTGGCGAATAATAGAGAGTTTCAAAAGTCCCGTCACTTGCGACCCTCCTTTCATAACCCACAATGATGAGAGGGGTCGAAGCGACTAGGAAAAGGATATCCCATTTGCCATGCATCTTTCCACTGTATTTACAAAAAATATTGGATACAAATCTCTTCGTGCAGATGCAGAAGAAAATTTTACTCAATTTTATTTCAAATCACTGAAAAACATTACTCTCAATAAAAGAAAAATAAGGATTCTGTATACGACAGGATAACGGGTGATATGATAAAAAAGCTTCCAACTGTGGCAATTAAACATATGCTTTGTATATTTAATAGTATATTGAGACTACGCTATTTTCCTTAATCATGGAAGCTTTCGAAGATTATTATGATCCCCAAACCATATAAAGATCCATCTTTGGTGGGCTCCTACAAGCCTACTAGCTTAATTACGGTATTCTCAAAAATCTTCGAAAAACTTTTATTAAAAAACATATTACCGATTTTTGAATCAAAACTGACCATACCATTACACCAATTCGGGTTTGGAGAAAAACACAGCCCATAGAACAGGTGCATGGATATCACACATGAGATCAGCGTTTGAAAACAAGCAATATTGTACTGTGCTCCTCGATGTCTTAGAAAGCTTTATTATTGGCAGAAAATTTCGTTTGAGGCAAGAAAGTTACTCCACTGAATACTATGAAATATTTGCTGGTATTTCACAAGGAACTGTGTTATGGCCCGTTTTGTATTTAATTTATACGAACGATCTTCTCACAAGCCGAAACCTCATCACATCAACTTTTGCGGATGATATAGCAATACTTAGTGTCCATTCAAACCCCATGACAGCCAGTTACAGATTACAAGAACATTTAAAAGTAAAAGAAGAGTGGCTAACAACTTGGAGAATTAAAGTCAATGAGTCTATCTGTATACAAGTAACATTTACCGTAAAAAAAGACACTTGTCCTTCAATCCCCACAAATTGGAATACAATATCTCAGAAAGCGTTCGTTACCTACCTGGCAGTTTCTCGTAGATTCACCTGGGAAAACCACATAAACAAAAAAATTACTCAAACAAAATTGAAAATTGCTTATAAAGCCATCTTGGACGTAAGGGGTCCAAATTTGAGGCTCAGCATCTAAATCTAGCCGAGATAGAACTCAAAGGCTGCAGTCCAAAACATTAAGACCAATATGCATGCAAAGCCCCTTAGTATGTAAAAAAAACTCGACAATTCACAATGATCTCGGGATTAAAACCGTAACCAAGGAAATAGAGAAACTGCTCAAAAATTACTCATTGAGGTTATCTAACCACTCAAACTTTCTAGCTAAAAAATTATTACAGCAGAACTGGCCTAAGAGATTAAAGAGAAAGGATTTACGTTTGAACTAGAAGTTGCGCTACGTATATATCCTTCATGATATTTTAAATTACTTCAATTTATCCTTTATGATTTATATTTTGTTGAATTTTAAACATGAGTGTTTGGTGTCCCTAATGATATCTATATAAACACATTCTTTGATAAATCTAAATTATATTCGTAATTTATTGTCTTTTGCTTACTTACTAATCTATACAGTGATAATGATTAACTTGTTCCAGGAATAAGAATTAGCTTTAAGATTTTCGAAATTATTGTTGGTTTCCAAAAAGGAAAGATTATATTATACAAGAAAGAAAAAAATAAATAAATAAACAATTGAATCTCATTATGAAAGAAAAGTTGAATAAAAATGCTGTCTTCCAAATAAAAAAAGATAATTCTTTCTCGCAAACTCACTTTTTTCTTCATCTTTGATGAGTTCCAGACCGATAATTGCCAACACATTTTTAATTTTTAATTTTTTCTTAAACTAAAAACACAAAATCGAACAGCAGATTGCTTCTTTTCGTGGATAACAAAATTTACACGGCGACAGTGAACTAAAAAAAACAGATTGTAGCAAAATTAACTGAACGGTATATTTGAAAACCAACCTAAATTTTATTACCTCGACCGAATCGGCCTGATCTTAGATAAATTTGACTTGCGAAACAATAAAGAAATTTAAAATCTAAATAAATTACATCACTTCTTTCTGCGTTTTTAAAATTCCCAGGTTCCTGGTAGAAAAATTAATTCAATCTACAGACAATTCAACAGGCAACTACGGTATCTTATTGTGCCATGTGGTGGCAGCGAAATTGATATAAAAATACTTTTAAAGCGACAAGTTATGGGCAATGCGACGGGTATATATAGGCCCACATATATACGACTCTCAGAAGTACATAAAGGCCAGCGGTATATAGCACGTTTCACGCCCAGCAACGAAGACGAAATGCTGCGGGCGCACAAAGTAGGAGTAAGTGATTATTACGCACACCCTTTCATCCATTGAGTTGAGTTGTTCAAGCAAATACTTATACAAACATTTATTTTGTCTTCTTTAAGCTCGCTGTCACAACCACCGGCATCTTTCAACATCTACCCGAGCTGCCCGACAATATAACGGTTTTCGAGGTGAGCACCCGCTGCTCCTTAGCCACCATTGCATGGTACAGTTCGCCGGACAGTCGAACAATAAGGTATGTACAGATGTTTGCAGTAGAGTGTATGTAGAGGCTACTGGGTATGCTGCTTTTAGCTTTTGGCCTTTCAGCGCATCAACTTCCGGTTTCCGGTTGCATTTGTATTGTTTGCACTAAAAGCACACTTACCTTGCAGCGTATGTGGCCATTGTTTAATTAACCGTCACCGACAGCCATTAATTGTTCCAAAGTAGAGCAACCCTTTCGGTGTCAGCGCGCCACTCTCTTCCTTTCTAACGCGTCCAAGAGACATGCCCTTCATCACCCCTGATTTGTTGTACAAACTGTTATTTCAATAAATTTTCAATTTCTCTTTCATTATATTTGCAACATTATGTAACCGATTGAACAACAACAACAACCACATAACAAAATGCAAAACTGTATCTCTACTGTGGCATCAACTACGATATGCATCTTTTCGCCGACTCACACACACACACACATATATGCTTCGCTTCATTAATTTGAATGGCGGTTACTGCGGCTTGTTTATGCCATAATGCCGTTCGAAATATGCTGATGGTATTGCTGTAATTTTCCGAACTACTTTTGATGGTGTGGGGTTTTCCTTGCTGCGTTCGGCTTTGTGGCTGCTGATGTTGCCATTGATGTTGATATCTGCATAAATTGTGCGCGTGTTTGTGGCATTCAGGTACTGCATAATTGTGTTCAATTTACCGCAGCGCAATCGTAGCTCCATTGATTATACGAACTACTGCCTAGACTTTGGAAAGCGTGTGGTGCAGCATCCACTATTCCAATCCATTAAATGCATTGAGCGCTCAAAAAGGTAAGCTAATTCACTATATAATTTTTGACACACGTACATATAATAAATAATTGGCGCTTTGCAACCGCTAAAGAGATTTTCGTTTGGTAGCTTTTTTGAGGAGATTTTCTCATATTAGAAATCCTAACGGGGAAATGTTGGCTTTCCCAATCGAGGGGTGAATGAAATAAGAAATATATATATATATATGTTTTTTAATAAATTTTTTATAATATTTGGATATCGGCCAAACCAGAACTAGAACTCTATTGCCGCCTCATATATACGTACACATACATTCCATTTATCTGAATAATACAATTTACACTTTACGCGGTTAGCCAGAATATTTTAAGTCAAAACATCTATGTAAAGTTTAATCGTGTCTTTTGTACCTATTACTATTATTTTTTTTAATAAAATATTCATATATGTCTCGCCAAACCTTAGGTTTAATTTCTAATTAGCAAAGCTTCTGTTAATTAAGTAAAGCATACTTTTAGGCATTAGCTCTTTGCTTATTTTGACATTTGATGTACTTATGCATTCATATATGCCTATAACAGTGAAGTCAGGAACATAAAATGTCTGTTAGATGCCCTTGAGCAGACTTGAAAGCATGCATGTTTGCTTGCCTCACTGCCCACGAAAATTCCTAATTGTTGTTAGCTTCAATATCCACAATGCTCAATCGATTCCAACAACAATAATCGAATGGTCATTCCGCATAATCTCCATTCCATCATAACATCCAATCCCACCGAGCTCTACCAAATAAATTCCATGAGTAATAGAAGAAATGTCCCGGCATCGAGTCCTGGTTCAACCAACAACCAAAATTATAAAAAATTAGTATTTCTGATTGCGGTAGCCGCTTGGCATGAAATGTCATCCATTCGAGTGTATTTTTGACATGGAACAAAAAAAAGGTTCCTCATATACATTTCTTCATCAAAATGACATTAGTTCCACACATCAATTTGGTTTTCGGGAAGATCTCGGCACAATTGAACAAGTAAATCGTAGAACAAATGAAATAAAGAAAGCTTTCGAATTGAGAGAGTATTGCTTGGCCGTTTTTCTTGATGTGGCACAAGTATTTGACAGAGTGTGGTATGGTGGCCTCGTTCATAAAATTAAAAATTTTATTACCTTGCGTGTTGCAGAATATCCTTGAATCCTATTTATACAACAGACGATTCACTGTAAAAGAAACGATTACATAATGTAAGAGTATCCATCCACGGCAGGTGCTCCGCAAGGTAGTATTCTTGGACCAATATTGTACATATTCTTCACCGCAGATATTCCTACAAGTCACGATGCATATTACGTCAACATACTATACTAAGTCGACATAAATGCCCCTTTACAGCCACAAAAGTGTTACAGCAGCACCTTAAACTAATTGAAGAAGGGCCTCGAAATGGCGCATAAAAGTTAATGAAAATAAGGGCAAACACATCACTTTTATACTGAATCCAAAAACGTGCCCTACTGTTAAGCCCAACAATGTGTCGATCCCACAAGCTGACGAAATTATATACCTCGGAATCCACTTGGACAGGCGCTTATCCTAGAGACAACACATTGATTCTCAAAACATAAACTCTTAAGCAAGAAGTCTGAGCTCAGGCTTGAAGACAAAGTCCTCTTATGTAATGCAACATTGTCACTAATATGGATATATGGAATCCAGTTATGAAAACGTTAAGAGTTATAACGGCCGCACCATGGTGTATGCATAATGAAAGCCTACTTTTAGATTTAAATGAAAGCACTATCTCAAAAGATATTAAAATTGTAGCACAAAAATACTTAATAAAACTGCGTAACTATCCGAACCCTTTAGCCAAGACTTTGGCCCATGCAACAAGTCAAACCCGCCTGTGGAGAAGAAACAAAGCAGCCTTCTAAGAAGCAACGTCAAGGCAGCAGCCCATTTCTACTAATATTTTTATTTTGTTTAAGATTTTATTACTTATTGTTAGGCTTCCGATATCGAAGCAGGTTCAATAAATAAATATTAATGTTTAAAAAAATAAGCAAAAAAAAAAACATAGGCCGTTCAGAGGTGGCTTAGAATAAGATGTGAGTTACTCCATTTGTGGGAAAAAACATTAAGATGTACACGAGGAAGTGGAGGACAAACTTAGCCTAAGATCGCTTCGACGACTATAAATATTATATATGTATAGTTGAGGAATGGTCACCTTCACATTTTTGATATGGATAAGCTACTACATTATTATTAACACATTTTCCAACACCTAAACATCCTCTCCCTTCTTTTCTCATATGCTTAGACAATTAGTAAGTCAGCGCGGGTAAGATGCAGCTCTATAGAAACGCAGGTGATACTGACAGACAGGCAATAAGCAAATTAGGAAAATTATGTAAATATTATGGAAATTCTTAGACTTAGAGATGATTAGTAGATTTTTATTTTCTGACGGACGTAACTAAAGCAATTTTGAATTATCATTGTAACATTTTTATTGAGTCAAAAGAAAATTGCTACGTTGCAAAAAAAGTAAGCCAGTTTTGTTGAAAATTTTGAGACCCAATTGCTCCACATTCTTTATAAAAAACTCCTTAGTTAAAAACCAAGCGTACTGGGCTAAAACATAGGGAGTGATATTTTCAGCCCAGTACGCTTAGCCATCTATTTTTCGAAAAGACTAGTAATAGTGCTGTTCACAAAACGGTCGGGTGGTGATGGCAGGAGAAATAATTAACATTTTAGAGAAAAGTGGCATTTCGCACTGCCACTTAGAAGGCCCGGGTTCAAATCCTGGTACCACCAAAATTCAAAAGTTATCTATAATTTATTTAAAAATAAAATTAAGAAAATTACTCTAATTAGGGTCGCCCCTCGGCAGGGAATGTAAATAACTCGGATTGTATTTCTGTAAATTAAAGGCATTAGCCGTTCGGAGGTGGCTTAGTATAAACTGTACGTCCCTCTATTTGTTGGGAAAACATCAAGACGCAAAATCACAAATTGAAGGAGGATTCAGCAGTTACAAACCGCCAATTATACGTGTATATACATATATATATATATATATATTGTATAAATTGCCCTATATTAATGAAACCCGAACACGGTTATTTGTAGTTTGTGCAAATTTAAATTTATTGTATTTAACGTTAAAATTTGCTACGCAATTACCAGCAGGAACGATGATAGGAATGTGCGAAATCCGATGGTGTTTTTCAGTAAGAGTTCAGTTTGAAAATACCAATAATACCGCTAAAGTCTCATTTAGCGCTGTATGTATACCTCACGGACTACTCTACACTACACTACACTATATTTTTATTGTCTGTTATATTGGATGAGTGCATAAGTTCGTGCCCGATTTCAAGTGCAAACTAAAATTGAAATTTTTTGAAGAAAGCGCTTTTATTAATCAATTGTGTATTCGCCATTATGTTCGGCAATATACTCCCAACGTTCAACCAATTTACGGATGCCTGATTCATAGAAATCGCGCGGTTTCTCGTTGAAAAACGTGTTAAGGTGGTTTTTGACGTCTTCCACATTTTTAAATTTTTTTCCATTCAAATTGTTCTGCAGCGATCGAAACAAATGATAATCAGAAGGTGCAATGTCGGGTGAATATGGGGGATGCGGCATGATTTCCCAATTCATCTCCTTCAGTTTGGCCAGGGTCGGTTTTGCAACATGTGGCCTGGCGTTGTCATGATGGAAAAGAACTCCTTTGCGATTGGCCAAAATCGGACGTTTTTCATCAATTGCTTTCTTCAATTCGACCAATTGCTGACAATACTTGTTGGCAGTGATCGTTTCTCCAGCTGGCAAGAGCTCAAAATAGATCACGCCTCGGATATCCCACCAAATGCACAGCAGTACCTTCATCGGATGCAATCCACCTTTCGACATCGGTTCCGCCCCTTCGTGTGCCTGTTTCCATGTTCTTTTGCGTTGAACATTGTTGTACAGGATCCATTTTTCATCACCAGTCACGAGCCGATCCAAAAAAGGTTCGTTTTTGATCCGTCGAAGCAAAGAAATTGCTGTTGACATACGGTCCACTTTGTTTTTTTCACTCAACTGATGTGGCACCCATGTATCGAGCTTCAAAGTGTACCCAACCTTTTTTAAACGACGAAACGCAGTTGATTTGTTGACGTTCAATTCACTGGCAACCTCTTCCGTCGAAATACGTGAGTTATTCGCAACTAAAGTCCTTAGAACATCGTCATCAAGCTCAGAAGGCCGTCCACTGCGAGGTTGATCTTCGAGGTTAAAATCTCCAGAACGAAATTTCGCGAACCATTTCTTTACTGTGCGGAGTGCTGGAGCACGGTCCAAATAAACTTCGCGAATATCTTTAGTTGCAGCGCCTACTGTTTTTCCTTTGCGGAATTCGTATAACATAATATGACGCATATGATCTTTTTCGTTGTCCATCTTCCATGCGTCTTTTCACTAAGCAACTCAAATCAAAATGAAGTTATTTTATGCTTGATTTACAGTTCGGACTGTCACCTTTCCAACGATACATAAAATGTATATACTTATTTCAAGAGCGCCATTCTCAAACGATTCGAACTGCATCCAGCGGAATCGGGCACGAACTTATGCACTCATGCAATATGTACACTAATTAATTGAAAATTTAATTAATTTAAATTATACCAAATATTGAGGGATATGCAAAAGAAAAACAATTACAAAAGAGTGAGCTCTTTAATTCAGTATATGAGTTTATGAATTATTTATAGTTTGTTAAAACTTTGAAAATCTAGTACGAAAGTGATGACTCAAACGGGATCACGTTTTGTTTTTAGAAGAAGATTATGGCCAAGTCCTGAAGCAATTTGTACAATTTTAATATAATTTTAAGATATGTCAAATACCGTTACTTTATGTTGGAGCTCTTAAGAGCTGGGTTTTTCTTATAGCACATTAGGGCGTGTTTTACACTTGGACTTACGCCTACATCTATATATAGTACAGCTCAAGCAACAACTGAAGCCAGCTGACTATTGACAACAACGTACATATTTCGATTGAGTGCTTGAACAGCCAGCAGTAGCCGGCAATTTTTCGTACATCATTTTCTTTCAGGAATATTTCTCAATCGGGGGTTATGTAAATAAGCAAAATTTTCATATCCGGTAGGGTGATTGGACCCTCTTTATTTGATAACTACAACAGCGAGATTATCACTGCCAATTCGGCAGTGGTAGATTTTTGAGGAGCTACTCTAGCCTGTACTCTTGCCCACTTGAAAACCAGCATTCCTCAAACGCGCGTCGCGGTCAATTGAACGATGTAGTGTTCCATATATAAACCCAAGGGTCAATGTAAACACTTTGGACCTTCTGATCTTGTAAACATTAAAGTACTTTAATGTACTCTGATTTGACTTAGTAACAGCTAACTTATTCTTCTCTACTTTTTAAACCTGAAATGGTATATTGGCCCGAACTATTTAGTAAGTATATGAAGAAGGAGGTACGTAGATAGAAGGAAAACAGACGGGTCCATCAAAATTTATAGGGAACTGTTAAAATACAGAGTTGAATTGATTAAGCCATGTCCGTTTGTCCCTTTGTTGGTACGCAAACAGGTGCCTCTTTCAACCATATGATCGTGTGTCGGAACCACTAAAATCGGATCAATATAGCATAGGTATGACAGATTTATCAGATTTGAGATTTTGTGTAATACATTTCTCTAAAAATCAACATCTCAATATATAATAAAATCTCTATACATCCGATGCGTTCAGATATGAGCTTCTTAGTCAAAAACCCGTCAAGAAAGCATTTGCAAGAGGGAGATTTTACATTCTATACGTGTACATATATACGTACGTATCATTGTCGCCGAAACCCATGTAATGAACTGTATAATTGCGCTGGTGTTCAAGCGGCAGTGATATGTCATACGGGGTGCATGCTAGCTTTACCAGGCGTAAGCTAGTCGGGTGGGGTGAATTCTTGTATGAAACCATTGCGCTGCATACATACATAGAAAATTAAATCATGCACAGGAGCTTGTTTATACTTGAAATTCAAACAAATGTAAGAAAAGAAATAAACATATTCAACATTATCAGACTAACATAGACAAGGCGGTAAGAAAATTGAGGAACAGACAGATATCACGAATATACGAGTAGGGTCCTACGGGGATGGACACAGGCAATACGTATGCGAGAACCTTACACACAATCGAATAACCAACGCCTGGATCACATATTGACAGAATTTATTCATATATGAAATTCATTTACATTGTATGTATATGCATTTGTGAATTGAGAGAACTCTCACTTCGTTGCGTTTACCAATACGATCATACACGATTATCGAAATGCTTCGCATAATCAGCAATGTCGTAAAATAAATCGTACGTTATTATTACAAAAACAATAACAAAAACATAGCAAAAACATAAAATTCGAACTCGAAAATAGATATAAAAAAGTAATTACAGAAACATTTCAAAAAACGTTATAAGAGCAGGATGGAGTAAAATGAATATAGCTCCGTTTTATGCCATGATTTTCTCTTCTCTTTTTATATTTGTATGTAATTTATGTATAAGAAATTTACATACCTTAACTCTGGTTGATCCCGCAAAGTTTATGCAAACTTGGTGCCCTAGGTTGGTAAAATATTGGGTTGCCTAAAAAGTAATTGCGGATTTTTCATATAGTAGGCGTTGACAAATTTTTTCAACTTTCTGTCAGTTGTCAGCTGTTATTTTTGGCTTGCTTTAGAAAAAAAGTGCGTGAAATTTTGTTTACATTTGTTTGTTTGGCGTCAATTTTAATATGGAGCCCACAAAGGAGCATTTTCGTCATATTTTACTTTATTATTTCCGTAAAGGAAAAAACGCAGAGCAGGTTGTTAAAAAGTTACGAGATGTGTATGGTGATGAAGCCTTAAAAGGAAGACAGTGTCAAAATTGGTTTCGCAAATTCCGTTCTGGAGATTTTTCACGTTCAGGTCGGCCAAATGAAGTTGATGATGACCAAATCAAAGCATTAATCGAATTGGATCGTCATGTAACTGAGCGTGAGATAGGAGAGAAGTTAAATATACCAAAATCAACCGTTCAATATCGCATAAAAAGTCTTGGACTGGTGAAAAAGCTTGATATTTGGGTACCACATGTATTGAAAGAAATTCATTTAACACACCGAATCAACGCTTGATATGCACCTTAAACGCAATGAATTCGATCCGTTTTTAAAACGAATCATAACTGGAAATGAAAAATGGATTGTTTACAACAACCTTAGTCGAAAACGATCATGGTCCAAGCATGGTGAACCAGCTCAAACCACTTCAAAGGCTGATATCCACCAAAAGAAGGTTATGCTGTCTGTTTGGTGGGATTGGAAGGGTGTCGTATATTTTGAATTGGTCAATCGTAAAGGTGTCATATTCCACCAGGACAACGCTAGACCGCACACATCTTTGTTTACTCGCCAAAAACTGAGTGGGCTTGGCTGGGAACTTTTGATGCATCCACCATATAGCCCTGACCTTGCACCATCAGACTACCATTTATTTCGATCTTTGCAGAACTCCTTAAATGGTAAAACTTTCGGCAATGATGAGGCTATAAAATCGCACTTGGTTCAGTTTTTTGCAGATAAAGGCCAGAAGTTCTATGAGCGTGGAATACTAAATTTGCCAGGAAGATGGCAAAAGGTTATCGAACAAAATGGCAATTATATATTTGATTAAAGTTCACATTCTAAGTTTTATTAAAAATGCATTTACTTTCTTTTAAAAAATCCGCAATTACTTTTTGGGCAACCCAATAATTAAATGTTGAGGAATGTGCAAATTTTTTTTTTAATTATTTAATTTTTAATTAATTTAAATGAATTCCAGTATACTTGTAGCAACAACTATTAAAAATGGTCAATTACACATAGCTGATATCCAACTTTAAGACAATGTTTTCTTAGACTGATTTTGGTGTAAATTCTCCATAAATTTGAAAATATTTTAGGTGAACCATGTATAATCTGGTTTAATAATTGACTGTCCAAAAGTAGAGGAAATCCCGAATGTCAGAATGCTTATGAAATATTAACTTTTAGACATTTGTACGCACCGAAAATCACAACTGGGAAACTCTTCAGCATTGATAATTAGCTAAGCTAAAATGTCCAAGAGCTGAGGATGTCCGTGTTCGGTCTCGGTCAAACGTCATGTGCATGCTACAGAAAGCGAGCACCCGCTTCGTCTAAATTTTATACCACTACAAATTTATTATACTTCAGTGGGAAATTGTACTAGAGTTAATTTCATTTAAAACTATTGTTCTTGTATTGTACTTGAAACGTAGAAATTTAGAAACGTTGCAAAGCCAGTAAAAGGAGAACTTAAATGAAAACATATAAGAATGTTAAATAAGATCCAAAGTAAGATAGTATTTGAAAATTGATTTTTCGCACATCACAACCACCGAAATCCCAGGAATATTTTATATCCCTCTCATGTAACTAACTTTTCAGGTAAAAGACCTAATTTTTTGGTCATATAATGAATACCATGAAAAATAGAAACACTTTGGCATTGACAGCGAAGACAGCTCTACTTTCTTTTTTTTCTCTTATAAAAGATATTTAGATAATTTAGTATTTTATTTTTCTAATAGCTTTATCCCTTATAAATTATTTACTTTTAATCTACTTGTAAATACATATGTAAGACAGTAGTGATTTTCAAAAATATCTTTAATCATGTTGTTGTGCATTCTTTGCAGTTCTCCCTTCGAAACACATACAATATTTAATCTGACGCCAGGTGAAACTTATCTCATCTACGTTACTGCCAATCTGAATGAAGGCCGGCCACTGCCATACCAGTCATTGCGGATCACAACGGGTCATCAATGCAGCAACGAACTGCTCGAATCACGAGAATCAACACCATACTATTGAACTTTCTCTGAATTTGCTGCTTTAAAGGAAATCCACAATTTTGGAGGATCTCTAGCTTGTGCCGTGAAGGCATAGTGACAGTGCACACTGTTTCTGGTGCCTTCGAATGGATTTGTATTGAAATCGTTTTTAGCTTTTGGCAAATTAAATTCATTAGTAAATGAAGAGTAAAGGAAGCCAGATGAAAGTGTCAAATTTATGCTTGTAAAATATATACCACCTACATATAATATTAAACCTACCTAATTGATATACAGACAATGTTGTTGCCAGTTCAATAAGCTAAGCGCAAAAAGACTTAAGCCTTCGCTAATGAAAAACAACACAGAATATGGTTGTTATAGTAGAGCAAGGTAAAAAAAGTGATGGGTGTTGCTTATATACATATTTATGCAATTACACAGTGGAAAAAAAATACATATATGTACTCGTGTGTAAAAATTAATTATCATTTAATTTTATAGGAGAGATTGTCTATAGCATTTTCACTTTTTGAAAAAATATTTACAAATTATTTTTATTTTTTGATTCATTTACTTTTTATTTATTTACTCTTCCATCATATGAACATTGTAGCGCAATATAACAGAAAGTATTATATTAATTTTGGCACACCTCTGCGTATACGTGACCTACGCCTTCGTACAGTTTTTATTTGCTCTACTCTCCAAAAGCTGATTAACATGATAATAGCTTTTCCACTGGGTATTTACTAGATAGTTAATAGTAATAAATGCATAAACAGATATTTGATGCTTTGTTGAACTCGCCTTAAATAATCGCTTGTTTCTTAGGTGCTTTTAATAAGCTTCAGCTCTCGAATGCGAATTTTCATGTAAAAAAAAACATTGTAAAAAACTTGCAATTCAAGAGCAAGGAAGCCTGCCACTCGGCAATTATTAGTTCAAATTCGATTTGTAAGTTTTAGTTGAGTAAGAAGTAATATTTACGATAAAATACCTATAATTTATTTTGTTAAGATTTTAGTGCTAGTTTTTTTATTATTGTGATGTGTTAAGTTTAGCACTTTTTTGTAAAAAAAAACAATTGTTATAATATTATATGTTTATAAGAAGTATTTTATGCGTGTGTGTGTGTGTTATGTTGCTCATTTATAAGAAACTACTTTAAGTTAATTTTTTACCTAATTACACTTATCGAAAAGGAAATTAACTAAATAAAGTGCAAAAACAATTTCGCTTGTAATTGAAATTACCTTTATACAGCTAATAGTATAAAATTCATTGTTTACGCAAAAAGGTGCAAAATATGAATATGCAAATTGAATTACACAGAGAAATTCTGTAAACGCAAACTACATTGACAATAAAATATTCATACATACATATATACATATATTTGCTAAAATTTTTTATTATACATTTGATGGATAGAAAACGAATAAAACAAAAAAATATATACACTACATACATTGTGTATACTGATACAGATGTATATATGTACTTACAAACGTATGTAAATGTTGTCTTTCATTTATCAATATACTTACCTACGTACATATGTTCATATATGTATATGAACAATAATATTTACCAGAATTTATTCAATATCACATCTACTTACATAGACATCAAGATATGAGCATGTGTGAGTTGTGTGCGAAAGTTGCCAACAAAGTGCAATTATTACTGAAATACAAATATATATAAAATATATGTATAGGCATTAGTACTTGCATATATCGTACATTTGTATGTCATGTGTACTCGCTCATATGCATACTAAATACATAACTATTTAATTGAAACTTTTTCGCATAATCGATTCTCTTCCAATCCCCTTTCTTCACAGCAGCATAATTAAAATAATCGATCAAATACAAGCGAAGCTATGTTATTCCTATTCAATCAAAATAAAGCGATTTAATGAAGATGAATTATTGTTTGAATTATAGGCAAAAAATATTTAATTAAAATGGCAATTTTTTTCACAGATGATGTTCAGGAAAGGCGAATCATTTTATCAGCGAGCTTAGTAAAAATTCTATCTCAACTAATTCAATTTGTTCAAACTTTTGAAATCAACGCCCCATCAGGAATTATTCTCCGCGAAAGCTATCAAAAGCATCAACGCCTCTATTTATCAGCGAGCTCCTGAGCGGAACCGCTTCCATCGAGATATTATAGAAATCTCATCAAATGGAACCGTCGATGAAAAATTCTGTAGAAGTGAAAAAAGCTCAGAAACCGCAAACTATATGTGACCGCATTACTGCCGAAGTTATGAAAAGCGTTCCAGTCTTAATTCGTGACTAACTAACAAAATGAGTTTTCCAGGCCTAGTTAGAAAAGCAGGAGGATATGAGGTGTGTTCAAAAAATATCGCGAATTTTGTGTTTTTCAAAAATTATTTATTTATTCATGAATATCTTTTTTGTCCCCTTCAAAGTAATCCCTTGATGCCGTCTTTATCTAGTCAATGGTAGCGTAACGTCGGCCTTTCATGGGCCTCTTCAGTTTAGGGAACAAGAAAAGGTCACAGGGGGCCTGATCTGGGGAATACGGTGGCTGCGGCATCATTAGTGTGTTGTTTTTGGCCAAAAAGTCACGCACAAGCAAGGATGTGTGAGCAGGGGCGTTATCGTGGTTTAAAAGCCAATTTTTGTTCTTCCACAAATCCGGGAGTTTCTGGCAGATTGCTTCGCGCAAATTGCACATAACTTGCAGGTGATATTCCTTACTGACCGTTCTACCCTGTGGCAAGAACTCATGATGCACCACGCCCCTGCAATCGAAGAAAACTGTCAGCAAAACTTTCACATTCGAACGAACTTGGCGCGTTTTTTCGGTCTTGGTTCGTGCGGCAGCTTCCATTGAGATGATTGAGCTTTGGTTTCTACGTCATAACCATAAACCCACGATTCGTCACCAGTTATGACCCTCTGGAGAAAATTCGGGTCAGCGCAGACAAAGTCCAACATCTCTTTAGCAATGTTCATGCGCTGCTGTTTTTGGTCGCAATTGAGCAATTTTGGTTCGAATTTCGCGGCGACCCGTCTCATGCCCAAATTATTAATAAAAATCGAATGGCACGAGCCAATCGATATGTTTAGGTCCTCAGCAACTTCTCTAACGGTGATTCGACGATTGGCCAATACCATTTTCTCCACTTCATTAGTTCTTTCGTTTGTTGTTGAAGTGCTCGACCGTCCGGCACGCTCTTCGTCGTTCACATCATCTCGACCTTCTGAGAACATTTTGTACCACCGATAAACGTTGCTTCGGTCCAAGGTAACTTCTCCGTATGCCACAGTCAACATTCGGAATGCATCCGCGCACTTAATTTCGTTTTTTACACAAAATTTGATCCATTTTTTTGCATAGGTAAAAATCGAAGACCATTCAAAATACGTGCAAGCAAAGCAGCATAAGTGACCGACAAGAGTACCAACATAACGCCACAAAAAAATCGAAATTCGATTATACGTAACCAGTGTAATTTAAAATTCGTTAACTTTTTGAACACATCTCGTATGTGAAATATTATCATCTTATCACTCTCTTACCCATTTTGTCAAGATTATTTAAAGAACAAATGATGAATGCAGAAGATCGAGCTGAAATTATTAATTTCAACTCACCAACTAGTAAAAGCATAGCAGAGCCAAAATCTGTTCTGAGTTACGTATAACAACGAAATATCTCCGTTTCACAGAATTGAACCTACCGTCCTCCAGAATATTGCATCCAAAATTTTACTCTGTTTTATCTGCGACCAACAAACTTCAAATGACTTTCTGATTTTGGTACTTTTGCTGATGACACCGCTTTTATCACGACTGTGCGTAATGTATCCTCAAAAATTAGTCGATGAGAAACAAATCCACCTTCACATTGTACTTACAGTTTTTGTAGCAGCTTTTCGCCCTTTACAAGAAAACGCAAGGAAATTTAGTTGCTGTTCAACATGTATATACGAGGGGTTTGAAAAACGTTCGGTCAGTTGGTGACTTTCAGTTTGTTTGTGTTAAATCTAAAAATATCAAATCCTCTGCAATTTCTTTATTAAGACGAATGTAATTACTTTATGAAGACGGTAAAATGCAAGATAGCTAAGGATAAGTCAGACGCAATGCCATCACAAACACAACAGAATTTGCAATGTGATTCTCTTCGGTATTCTTTTTTAAATTACACCCAATACAAATATTCAGTGAATGCCAAATTGCTCATGGAACAATTGCTCCGTCTTTCAAGACTATTTCTAAATGGTTCGGAAGATTCCAGACCTGACATTTTTCGGTAAGGGTGGAGCTCCGAGAAGCTCGACACCAAACGCATCCCCTGATGACGTCACTGTAGCTCTGCTAAAGTCCAAATATGACGAATACCCACGATTGACATAAGAAATGATTTCTAATGAAATGGGCTTGAATGCCATAGCTGTATCGCGAATGCATGAAGAAATGTGCTTGATAGGTGCCATGAATTTTAAATGAGGCTCAAAAAGAGCATTGAGAATATTTTGATGAATTTTTTTTAAACAGATTCGAAAATCGTCAGTCTAGCAAGTTTTGTAAAGTCGTTCCTGGTGACGAGTCTTGATGGTATGGAGTCCAACAGTAGAAAACCCACCCGTAAAATCTAAGCAACAAAAATCAGCAACAGAAGAAATGATGTCAGTTGACTTCACCCGATCTAAGCTGTTATTCCACAGGAAGGAAAGGTCTTTAATTTCAACGAGGAGATAATTAATGCGGTTAATGCTGTACTTGATAAGCCTAAAATGCAAGATTTTGAAGACTGTTAACAGAAGTGGATCTCTAGGCTTAAGAAATTCTCCGAAATCAATGGCAATTATGTAGAGAAGATAGCAAAAGACAAAGTTTACGAATAAATACAAAAAGGAATATTTAATTTTTTTTCTGGTCAACTAACCCAACTTTTGTTAATCTCCTAGTATATATATTTTAGGACGAGTTCCTTCTCCAATTTTAGTAAGTATCGTGATGTTGCTGGTGGTTCTTTATGAGGAGTTTATGAGGAGTTTATGAGGAGTTAATGAGGAGCATTTAGAAAAATTATCTTTATTTTTTATTCCAAATGTTTCTCTATAATTTTGTATGTTGATCGGCCTAGGATTCGAAGTCTGGCCTTTCGAATCACAGTACGCAATACTAACTACCCGCGATTAGTCATTAGGTAAAACTATCCCTAAGGTTTAGGTTTTTAGAGTTGCCGCAGAGTATACCTCGATCAGGATCAATTCTTGGAGCGTTTATCTACCTACGTACCTAGACACCGTATTTGCCAGATTTATAAATTCACCGTAGAATTACATCTAAAGACCACAAGATATTTCTGTTAAAAGCTTTTTACCAATCCAGAGAGCACCGATGCAGTATTCATATTTATTGAGTAAATAATGAAGATACAAAATT